AGTACAAAAATTAAAAATAGCTCTCATAATAAATGCTACCGTGAGCATGTTTCATTTTGTGAAATTCACTTTATGGACTTCTTTTTAAGAACAAATGGATAAAATGGTGTAATTTGGGGCCTCCCTCACCAACGCCCTGCAGGTGCCTCTCAGGTGCGTCATCTCCAAGCAGCTTTATCAGGTCAGCTCAAAAAGACACTTGATTTCTGATGGAGGCAACGAACAAAACAAAAGCCCAAAAAGAGATCTAATCCTCCATTGTTGAAGATGACCAGGGAGCGATTTTAAAAGCCAGTCTCTCCAAATGTCCTCACACATGTTGACTACAGGTTATCAGGGAAAACTCAGTTCTTCATAGCACAGGATGGTGGTGGGGCTGGTGAGGCCGGAGTTGCAGCCTCAAGGATAAGATAAGTGGATTCTGGGGGGACGGAGGAGTGTGACAGAGGCTCCAAGGTGAAATGCTCGGCCACAGCCCAGGACACCCACCAGGGTGGTGAGAAAAGTGGTGCCTAGTCTTGGCCTGGAAGCAGCCCAGAGCCTTGGGAAGCATGAGGAGAGAGGTGACATGATGTGGGCCTGTTTCTATAGTGGTACACGGCTGGAGTGCTCCGCATCTTTTTTCTGTGCTGAGTTTAGNACATGATGTGGGCCTGTTTCTATAGTGGTACACGACTGGAGTGCTCTGCATCTTTTTTCTGTGCTGAGTTTAGAGTGACGAAGAAAACCTCTATTGCTGGTAAATGTAAAAGCCACTGATTATAATGCTTCAATTTCTCTGTCTCTAAGCTGGTGACAGTCACCATCCTTTCGTGTTAAAACATAATGTGAGGCCAGATAATGAGGCAGATGCACCAGTGAATTCTGTACACACCTCACCTCCGCATGGTGCCGTGGGATGGGCCCCAGTGCCTGTCAAATGTGCACACGTCTTGGGGTGTTATATGGGTCAGATGCTCCACTGGGTTTGAAAGTGCAATGACAAACCTTTGCAGGAAACAAATGACCCCTACCTCTAGGTTCGTGTCCCCCCAAATGTGTCCTCCACACGTCCTTCTGAGTTCTTTTTCTGAAATGCGAATCTGTTTGTGCCACACCACCATTCCTATCAGCCATGCATGTGTCCACATAGCCATTGACTCAAAACACATGACACGCCAGACACTAGCTAAGCATTGATGACACTTTTTTTCCTTCATGAGTCTTCCGTTGGGCTGGAAATATAGATAATTATATGATCAAAGATATAACCTCTCCTTCTCCCTCCAGCCTACAGAATAAAGTTTAAACTCCTAAACACAACATACAGCAGTGTCATTCGTCATTGTCTGGCCCATAAACTCCTTTCACCCTGGCTCCTCTCCTCCAGCCAACACAACCGCGCCACAGTTCCCTCAGTACGCCAGCCTCTCTCTCATGCCTCTGCGGGGTCTCTTGTCTCCCTTGACTCGCTTCCCGCTTCTCTCCCCGTGAGGCAGAAGTGGTGGGTTCCTTCGCTTGGTCCCAGAGCATCACCGCCACCCCCACTTGGAGCACTTGCAGGGTTGTCGCGATGATCTCTTGTGACTTGGAACTCTCGAAAGGAGACGCTGCATCTTACCTGCTTTCATCTCTCTTACCCCAGCACAGACTTGACCCAGAGTAGGTGCCAAGAAAATGTTGGTTGATACTAAGTCATTTTTCACAAACATATTAACTAAATATAGAGATTGGGAGAGACATGCATGGAAGGGGAGGGGGAAAATTTAGAACTGAAGAATGTTTTCCTGATCAAACTCTGTGATTCTCAACTTGGGTGCATCACACACACCAGGTCCTTCAGAGCCTGGCTCCGCAGCCCCAGAGCTGCAGCATCTGTGCATCTCCTGGCTGGACCTGCGGCAACTAGGTCAGGACACTGAAAGGCCGCAGAGAGCTTCCAGGGGGAACCACGTGCTGACGCTTGCTGTGCATTCCAAACAGAAAGCTCTTCTCTTACAGCAGCTGACGGACCACCTGAAATGTCCCCTCTTGTGAAACGCCCCCCCACTCCTGGCAGATGTCTGAATGTCCTCAGGAAAAGACACCTTCTAAGTGTTCTGAGTTCTCCAGAGAGAGCCCGCCCATCAGTGCCGCACGCTCGCTGCCAGCTAGCACAGGGCAGGTGGAACATGCCCCAGGCCCACTCAAGGCCTTTCTAACCTCACCTGAGCTCTTTCCCAACCAGGCGCCTGGGTGCCACTCATGCCCCTTCCAGAATGTCCCTGGGCCTTTGGGATTTTGCCCCCTACCCGCTTCCTTCTCTCAGTGCCCAGGACCACCTCCCCTCATGCTCCTCTGGGTTACTGCTCCACACTCTGGGCTGCTCCCTTCTTGGCCTCCCATGAACCCTCCTTGCTGCATCTTCTAAAAACATCAAGATGCAGGGAGGGAGTACACTCAGCTGAATTCCTCTGTGGCCCTCCCTTACCTGTCAACAAAGCTCACTGCTGAGCATGGAGGATGAGCCCCTTCAGCTCCTACCTTGTGACTCTCCATTCCCGGTGTGCATTCAAAACAAGGGGCACCTCAGAGCCTAGTTCCCTGGGTCCAGGGCAGAACCTGGGTGCTGATGACTAATATGCCGCCAGGGTAGAGAACCATTGATTCTGGCCCCCTCATTTGCTCCAGGCCTATCTGCTGGACTTCACTTGTCCAGGGGGCCCAAGGCCTGAGACTTGGAGCCCTGCATGGTACTCTCCCAGCAGGGCTTAGCCTGCCCCTTTCTGGATTCAGCTCATACCTCTGGATGTGAGGGCACAGATACACTCTCCCTTCCCTTTCATTGGAAAAGGTCAACCCTTCCAGAACCCTGAGCCTGCGGCTATTTCACAGCACTTACCAACTGTGGTTGGCATGTTGAAACACTGCCACATCCTTTATAAACTGTGTAGGCAAGTTCAATGCCTCTAGAGTATATGGCTCCATATAAAAATTAAGTTGAGCCACATGAAACTGCAGATATTTTTGACTTACAAAAGTACAATTTCGTGTGGCTCGACCTAATACTTTGGAAAGGTATTACAGAAGTTACTCAAAAGCATTAAAAAAAAATCAACACGGACTTTAATTGAGCAGATTTAATTTCCCTGAGGTTGTATTCCATAAATTATACAAATTCTGTCCAACACACAGTGGTTGTAAACTTTACAGAGCACACAAAGCAGGTGGGCGTCCTGTGGGAATGGCCCAGCTGGTTGGAGGTGGGTGTGTCTGTCCCGGGGTCCTGGCCCTGCTGGTCCCCAGAACGCCCTCAACAGCAGCAGCACATTAGACTATTGAAGAGGAGCAGTGAGGAAACACTTATCTAAAAAAGAATCACGTGACCAAAACACTGACATCACCAGCGCAACAGTGTTTCCTACTCTCTCTACTAAGGCCAGTCTTTGGCTCTGAGTATTTCCACATATCTGATTAACTGAAAAGCCTCATCAAGTTTATAGGCTTGTATTTAACTTCAAAAATAAAGTGCTGTGATTTAAAAAATAAAAACTAGGCTGTATTTGAGAGCTTCTAAGAAACCTGTCTACTTCTGAGAGTGAAGGAAAGACAATCTTTAGAGAAATTCTCCTGAAACTCTTCGTTATTATAAGAACCCTCGGTTATTCACGGTCCTCTGTGTGCACTGGGGTGAAAGCAGGACTAACCTCCTGGTGGGCTAATTGAGAAGAATGGCCGGAATGGAATGTGCACTTGGGTAGTTCGTGCGAGGAAGAGAGGGCGCTGCTAAAGGATTTTTATTAGTAATGAAGTCATCCATTGTGAGGCGCAGGAAGTGCCTCACAAGCGCCTTCCTGCGAGCCTTGCTAACCTCACTCTGGGCCCCTCACCCCTTGGGCACTAATCTTGGAATGCAGCTCATCCTAGGCCCAGGAAAAGGCACACCAAAATGTGTCCGTGTAGACTACACAGCTCTTCCGTTCACAGATGAGAGTACAATAAATGACTTTCAACACAAGACACTGCAGAATTAAGTTTCTTGGGGAAGGCATGGCACCCGACACTCTTATTCTGCACAAAATGTTAAGGGTACAATGCTGAGAGCTGGGGAGGGTATAGTCCAGACTGAGTTAGTGACTAGTAAGGACAAACAAGTCTCTCTGGGCTTTATTCTAATTGAAACCAGCATGTCTCAGAGCGAACCCTTTTCTACCTCCATGAGGAGTTGCAAGTGGTCCTCACCAAATACAATAGATGCCTGAGCCTCACCTCAGCCCATGGAATCCGTCTCTGGGGTGGGCTGGAACTAGCATTCATAACCTTGCTGTAACTTGAGAAAGTGTCATGCTGGTTTTAATAAAGCAGCATCTTCCATCTCTAGGGTGTGACCATAGGAAAGCTCCCTCTTCACCTGTACATTTGGATAGGAACCTGTACCCGCTGATAGCACTCTATTAACGCATTACCCTGTTTTTATTTAGAAGGAAGTCCTTGGGTCTCTGCCCTCCTTGCACAGGTCATGCTCTTATCCCATCACTCTTTTCCTGTCCTGTGGCTGGTGGCTCTTCCCCCCAAGCTGGAAGAGAAGACATTTAGGTGCATGTTTGACACCTGCCCCTTTGGCAGGGCTCTGACTCCTGACCTTCCCATGGGCCCACATGCAGAGCTGGAGGATGACCCGGATGAACCACCTGGAAACAAGTCTTTTCACTTAGACGCTCAACCTTTCCAAACACCCTCTCCCCTGGACTCTGTCCCTCGTTCACACGCCTGGGATTTGCTTCCTTGTGCTCTTCAAATCCATTCTATTCACTTTTTAATCTGTCACTCTGGTCACCACCACAGCGAGGCTTGTTCAGTGACATTATGAAAATAGCCACCAAGGCTAACGCAGCCCCTAGGCTAGGGGGTCCACAGGGGCTGACCTCCTGGGCAACGCCGGAGAGAAGGGGGGCGATGATCCGGCCCACTGCCGTCACCGACTGCCCCATGCCAATGAGGGCGCCCCTGGTCTGGGCCCCGCCCGCCGATAGCTGGAGATCTGTGATGCAAGTCCTGCCAATGGCCGTGGAGAAGGACAGTAACGTGGAGGAGACCACGACGGCGCCCATGGTGGGGGCCACGGAGTAGAGCAGCAGGAGCAGGAAGGTGAGCACGTTGGAGTGCAGCAGGACCCTGTGGGAGTTGTGCCTGTACAGCCGCAGGACGGGCCCCAGGACCAAGCCAGCCAGGGCCCCAAGGGCGCTGCTGTAGCTGATAAGGTAGCCTGTCACCTTGGGCTTCACCCCAAAGCGCTCCTCCAGGGCCAAGACAAAGTTACTGTAATACAGCATGACCGCCACGGCCATCAGCAAGCGCACTAGGAATATGTCCCACATCTCAGAAAACACCAAGCTCTTCATGTCCTGCAGCGTGGCTGTGACTTCTGTCCAGGGTGCCCTGCGGGCCTTCTCACCCACCATACTCCCAGGGCTGGGACTGGCCTCCTGTACTCCGAGGTCTGTCTTTCCCAAGCGTGCATCGTTCTTACCCAGTCGCAGGCTGCTCTTTGTACTGCTGACACTTACTTCACTCCATGGAAACAGCCAAACGAGACCTGTTAAAAGGGCACATCTGTTAAAGCAGGTGAGTTCAATGAAGTCATACAGCGCTTCCATGGGGGATAGGCAGTTACTGGTATTAGATTACTACAGCACTTTTTCATTAGAAGATTTACTAATCTGTATTTATGAATCCAGTTCTTAACCATTCCTACAGCTATTCCATTTCGATATCAGAATTCTGCAATTCACCTTAAGAAAAAAAATCTTTACCTACATAATAGTCACAATTTTTCCCTAGTTCAAGCCCTATGAGGGCTTCCTATATCCCACATTTCATATCTAAATTATTAGGCTTTACATTTAAATTCTTCCCTCATAATTTTGCTAATTCTCTGACTATCCACCATCTATCCACCCATCCATTCATCACCCATCCAAACACTGAATATTTATGCTTTCTAAATGCCAAATCCCATGCTAAACACTAGAAATAGTACATTAACAAACAAGGCAAGGCCTATCCAATCCTTGTCCCCAAGGAACTTAAACCTAAGGGGGGGTGCGGACATGCAAACAGGCTGTTAGATTCCAGGGTAAGCGCTATGCTGGGGGAAGCACAGGGTGCTGTGGACAGAGGCAGCCTTGGCAGGGGTGGCTAGGGGTAGCCTGACACCAGTGGCCAGTCAGGAAGCGCCTGCTTGGATCTGCAACTTTACAAGTCTCTTATCAAAACCTCTGGGGGCGCCATTCTCATCACCCAAGACACACCCCTTATCCAGCAGCTCTATTCCTGTTCAGACAATCCCACCTCTGCCCCCATGTGACAGGCACATTCCTGCCTCCATGGTTTTATTGATCCCATGCTATCCAAGCAGCATGACTTCTTGCCAATCCCCCACCCCAAATTTTCTTTTCTTTTTTTTAAAATATGTTTTTATTGATTTCAGAGAGAGGAAGGGAGAGGGAGACAGAGAAAGAAACATCAATGATGAGAGTCACNTTGATTTCAGAGAGAGGAAGGGAGAGGGAGACAGAGAAAGAAACATCAATTGAGAGTCATTGATGGGCTGCCTCCTGCAAGCTCCCTATTGGGGATTGAGCCCACAACCCAGGCATGTGCCCTGACTCGGAATCGGACTGTGACCTCCTGGTTCACAGGTTGACGCTCAACCACTGAGACACTTAGGCTGGGCCCAAATTTTCTTAAAACTGAACTCAAACTGAACCACCTAGGACCTGTTTCCCAACTCATCCTTGTGGTTTTCAGTCCTTCAGCACAAGTCCCACCTGGACCTGTGACCAGCCGGTCAGGGCTGTTTCCTGCTGTTCCCACAGCTATGTCTGCACCTGTGGATTCTCCAAACACAGTGTACGTGAGCTACTAGCCAGGCACTAATTTAGGACAGGAAGCTGATCACATGGGAAAGCAGACCTGGACATATCACTTGCTCTTATCTATGAAGGACCCTGGACAGGCCACAGAATCTTGATAAAATGTGAACGGACTATTGCTGATGGATTAAAACAGAAGCATAATTAAATAATTAAAAAGTGGTAACTTTGACAGCAACTGACATCTATTGAATTGTTACCACATGCACACAGTGGGGTAGCCTGCTTCTATGCAAAACCTCAAATAGCTCTCCTAAGTCTCTGAGTTTTGTTACTCTAGCTTACCGATGAGGAAGCTGAGACAGCTCACCTAAGGCCCACACTGAACAGTGGCAGAGCAGGGATTTGAATCCAACCAAGTCTGTGAGACTGGAGTTTGAGTTTTTAACCATGAAAAAACAAATTATTGATAAAAAGATATGAAAGGCCTTTTTCAGGCAAAGTGGCAGATCAGAGCAAGGAAATAAGCTGAAGGGGTGGGTGGGTTGAGGAAAACAGCTGTGTTGTTGGGGAGGAAAGTATGACAACGGGGATGAGACAGCTCCATACGCTGTGCTCACTGCACTGAGGGCCCCGCACTCTGCGACACTGCTGGCCGTCTAGCCCCCTTCGCTCCCTGGCTCCTCCCCAGCTAGTCTCCGCATCCACCTCAGCATGTCCACCCCACAGGTATAAGTGGGGAAAATAAACACCTATTACTTTACGCAACTGGAGGTGGGAAACTTGCAGCTGAATGTATTCCTAACTGACTCGATCCATTCAAAGGCTTAGGTTAGGGAAAATATTAAATAGCACTATCATCGGAGAATCCAAAACAGAGCTCCAAACTCATGTTCTCTGTTTAAACACTGACTTCTGGCTTCGAGCAAACACATGTATGTACCTTCCTTTACACGGGAAGGTACCTGCTCACGCCAACCCAGTCATGGGCTTGAAGCCATTTCATCTAGAGTCACGCTGATCAGAACTCTCCTCCTGGCTGAGGTTATCGGTTAAATTTTGGGCAGAAAATCATACTACCCCAGCATGGGATTCATCCCTCAGCCTGAAGCCTAGAATAGGAATCTTCAAAAAGCTGCAGTAAAGTGGAACATCATTAAATTTAGGGCAACTGAATAGCATGAATCCTCTTGTGAATAAAGCTGTTTATCTAAGGGCCGGCCATGCAACCGTCTCTGGGCAAAGAGGTCATCCTCTCTGCTTTAAGCAACTGGCCCTGCATCCACCGAGCTCCCAGGCCAGTATGTATTCTTTTACTCATCAAATATCATTGAACGTCGGCTGTACGTGCCTGGCCTCTTCTGGGCAGGGTGACAGCAGTGTGCAAGTCCAAACCCTTGTGGAGTTTACTTTATAATCAAGTGTGTTGGGGGAGGGGAGAAAACACATTAATAATACAGTTTCAGAAGAGCTATAAAGAAATAGTGATTTTAAACAGAATGATTAAAGAAGGCTTCTCTGAGGAAGCAAACATTTGAGACTTGAATGATAAGAAGGAAGAGCCAGTGAAGAAAGGTGGGAAGAGTGCCGCAGCTGGAAGAAAGAGCAACCTGCAGTGCCACCTGTGGAAATAAAGCTGACATGTGGTCAACCAGGAAGCCAGTGTGGGAGGCACGCACGGGAAAGCAGGGGGCAGTGCCAGCCTGACGCTGAGCAGGTTGGGGGATAAGCAGTGCTTTAGCATGACGGAGCCCACGGGAGGCTGCAGCAGGGGTGGCGTGGTCTCTCAGTTGTGCCTATTCTAAGAAAAACAAATTATTACAAGGAGATAAAAGTAGGCAGATTGGTCAGTATGAATGAATAAACTGATTTTTTTCATGATTAAATGGCAACTTACCAGCATTGAGAATGAAGACAGAGAAACAGGTGAAGCATGTAAGACAAAATCCACCATCTAGTTCACTAAGATAGCCACCAACCATGGGGCCCAAGATGAAGCCCACACTGGACGCTGTATTTAACTGTCCGATGACTAACGGCCGCTCCTTCTCTGGAACCAGGTCAGAAATCAGAGCCCTTGAGATGGAGAGTGTATGTTTAAAAATACCTGCAAGGAGACAAGAAATCTGTTCTGTAACACTGTCCACATTAAAAGAATCTCGCTTGTGATCCAGCACTTTACCTCTACCCCTGATGTTGTTCTGATCTATTTTCTTTGAACCTTTAAGGCCACAGGTTCCATGCCACTGTCACGGATTGCTGATTGAGCCCACCATCCTGGCTGGCCACCTTGTCTCTGGCAACCATGGTCCTGAAACCTCACCTTGCCCACCTCCCATCATGAAGTCCTGGTGTCTCCAGTCCTCTCTGCTATCCAAGTACAATTCATGGTGGTTTCTACATAGAAATTTATCCTTCATTATTCATTAACTCAGGGAACAAACATTTTCTGCATGCCTACTGTATGTCTAGCATAAACCTTGACCATGAGGGTAATGCAAGGAACAGAGAAGGGGGAAGAAAGACAAATATCCTGTCCTCCCAGAGCCTGCAGATCTCTATGAAAGTGATAAGTGCTATGGAAACAGAGCAGGGAAGACAGACAGAGAGTGAAAATATTAAGATATGATGATGTAGTAGTCATCTAACCAATACCACTGATTTTCTACTAGCAAGTGGCTTATGAAATTGACTAAACAAATTGAAAGCTGTGATATGACTTAATAAGAGATTAAGGTGTATGTAACAACTTTACATTCCTCATACTTCTGCTGATGTACTTGACTTGTATGCACCCACACACTGAATAAACACACTGATAAACAGGCTGCTGAATTCTGGTGACACNAACAGACTGCTGAATTCTGGTGACATAGCTTGCGCACTATTTTGATCAAGACATTCATAAACCATTTTCTTAAGTAAACAACAATAAAAACACACACCACAGCATGAATTTTGGAGGGTGAATGCAGAAGACTTGTCCATCAGGGTAGCAGAATCTGTCAGTGCTCTCATGAGTAAGGTGAGAAAGAAACAGAAACTCCAGGGTTCTAATCACTAAGAAAGGCAAAGAGGGACTAAAGAGCTTCGACAGTAACTACCTACCCACCTCAGCACCCCACATTCACAGGTAGTATTTCAAAGAAAGGGAAAATATTTTAATGAATGGACAAAATAAAAGCTATTTCAAAAATGGTAGAGACATTCAAGAGCAGTCTGGAAACAAAACTAACCTCTGAGCCACTATATCATAACCTTAGTACCACCCCCACAAGGCCACAGCCAGCCTTACAGGAGGTTGCAGGAAAGCTACAGTGGTATCAATTTGAAGTCAGGAAGCCCAATTTCAAAACTATAAGCTCACTGAGGGACAGGATAGTAACCACAGTGCTGGTCATAGACATCTGACAAATTCTTCCTGACTGAATGCAGAGAAAGATGAACAGGAGGGAGACAGGTGGTGCCGCAGCAGAGCTGTGCACCCTGATAGACACTGCAAGCTCCAGGCTCCGTCACGTCCAGGGACTGAAGCTCCGGACAGGTCAGCAGAGCCTGGCTGATGCTGGTGTAACAGTTCTAATTTATATTGTCATTGTGTTTGCTTTACATAAGCTCTAATCAAAGAGGCATTGACAAGCAGGGTCAGGCTTTCTCTATACATATACATGTGACTTATGTTGAAAGAAAACACACACAGGGAAAGAACTCACCCACAGGGACTCTAGCAAGGACAAACAGGAACACGTTGGTAGATACTCCAAGAATGAGATAACCCAGGGCACTGCAGAGAATGCACACCAGCAAGGAGAACCGTCTTCCAACCACATCGCTCCAGCAGCCCTGAGGAAGCAGAAACACAAAAAGTCCTTTGACTCACTATAAAATCACCATTTTGGAAATCCCCTCAAATATGACCCAGTGGAAAACAGCAGGGAATCTGGGCTAAGATCCTTAGATGCTCAATTCCATTATGCCATTCGTCAGAGTATTTTCTCTGGTCTTCCACAAGTTGAGTGGGAAATACATTTTTTTTTTTTAAATCCTCACCCAAGGATGCGTTTCACTGATTTTTAGAGAGGGAGGGAGGGGGAAGGGAGGAAGAGAGAGACACACATCGATTGGCTGCCTCTGTATGTGCCAACCAGGGATTGAACCTGCAACCCAGGTATGTGCCCTGACCAGGAACTCAACCATGACCTCCTGGTTCATGGTTCAACCACTAAGCTACACAAGCCAGGCAGAGGATATTTTTCCCATTGCCTTTCAGAGCGAGTGGAAGGGAGGGAGGGGGAAGGAGAGGAAGAAAGGAAGAAAGGAAGAGGAAGAAAGAGAAAGAGAGAGACATCAATGTGAGAGAGACACATCAACTGGTTGCTTCCTGCATGTGCCACAACTGGGGGTGGAGAGCAAACCTGCAACCCAAGTATGTGCCCTTGACCAGGAATCAAACCCATGACCCTTTGGTACCTGGGCGGATGCTGAAACCACGGAGCCACACTGGCCAGGTCTTATCATTAATTTTGTCAACCCAATAGATTAAAATGACTTCTCATTGCTCCAGTGTGAATTTCTTTGACTACTATTGAGATGCAACATTTCCCACGTTTTCTTCTTTCAGTTTTATATACATATAACTTACATGAAGCACTGTATAAGGTGTACAGGTGACTTGACTTACATATACTGCAAAATGATTACAATAAATTTAATTAGCACCCATCATCTCATATAAATAAAAAAATAAAAAATGTTCTTTCCCTGTGTAAAGAACTTTTAGAATTTACCCTTTTAAGAACTTTCAAACACACTATTCAGCAGTGTTAACTATATCACCACGCTGTACATTATGTCCCCAGGGCTTACTTGTAACTGCAAGTTTGTCCCTCTTGAACACCTTCACCCAATTTTTTGAGCAACCTCCATAGCAACTCCCACAGCAGCTGCACCAGTCTGCGCTCCCACCAGCAGTACATGAGGCTCCCTTTCTCCACACCTTCCCTTCATTTATCTTGTTTTTGGTGATAGCCACCCTAGCAGGTGTGAGGTGGTATCTCACTGTGGTTCTGATTTGCATTTCCCTGATGATTAGTGATGCTGAGCACCTTTACTGTTCATTCAGGTCCTTTGCCAATTTTTTAATTGGATTATTTCTTTTTCTGCTATTCAGTTGTATGAGTTCTTTATATATTTTGGATATGACTCCTTATCAGATACACGGTGTGCAAATATTTTTTTCCATTCTGGAGTGGCCTTTCCATTCATGATTGTTTCTTTTCCTGCATAGAGGCTTTTTAGTGTGATGTAGTCCCACTGGTTTATTTTTAATTTTGTTGCTTGTGCTTTAGGGTATCATATCCAAAAAATCACTGCCTTTTTCCCTGTGTTTTACTAGGAGCGTTGTGGTCTCAGATCTTACATTTAAGTCTGGCAGTTACAGTCCCACATATGGGAAGCCTCAGAGCCCTGCCAGGCATGGGATCCCTTCTGAACCACTCTTGCTGCAAGTGAGGAGCTTTGGTGACACCACAGAGGTGGTCCAGGGTGAAGGTGGCCCAGGGTGACAGTGGCTCAGGGTTAAGGTGGCCCAAGGTGACAGTGGCCCAGTGGGAGACTAGCTGAGCCCCCAATGCCGCTGTATGAAGTCTGACTGTGAGGACACATAGAGGACGCAAGCCCACAGGGAGAAGTTGAGAGGTGCACAGGGAAGACCTCAGCAGGAGGCAGCAAGGAGTAAAGGACAGAGGAAGGTGCTGTGTGGAGTCTGGTGGTAGGGGCAGGTCACAGACACCTCAGGGACAAAAGGCCGCCTTCTCAGCTCATTCTTTACTTCTGTCTTCAGTACTCCACAGCAACTGCTCAGCCAAAACTTCCTCCCCTGCAGGCTAAAGTTTGGGCCTTCAGGGATGCAGCCAGAAGTTGCTGGGGAGGCTGCCAAGAAAGTTCTTTAGAGGCGGGGAGGGTACAGCCATCAGCCTCCCCTCCTCCTTCCTTGTCCTGCTGAGAACCTTCCCACCATGCACGAGGCTGCCCATGTCTCCTAAGGCCGGCTGGGCTGGGCAGGCCACGCAGGCCCTGGTCTCCAGCAGCCCCTGGACGCGTGGACAGCCTCGCGGTGAGCTGCATGCTTTCCTCTCCACGCTGGACCATCACGCACGTGGACCCACAAGCCAGCCTGAGCAGCCCAGCCCGACTCCAGCGCCTCTGCTCCCAGCTGATCTATATACCGAGGTTCTGGGTGAAGCTTTGTTTGAAAGAAGTGTCCAAATAAAAACCACTAAACACTGTCAGAGCAACAGGGCCCCATCTGAGAAAGGTCAAGCGCAGGCGTCCAGCGGTGTGTCCTGGGCCTGGCTAGAGGTGGTGAGTGGGCATCCTGCTCCTCCGCGCCTCAGTGCTGCTTGGGGACCTCCTCCACCCTCTCCCACTAACAGCGACCTCTGGACCTGCCTCTCTGCCTTGCCAAAGCCAACCACCTCTGTTCGTGCCTTTCCTCATTTTTATAGATGTGTTTCTGTTTTTCTTAAAACCCCAAAAGATCACTTTACAGAGGATATATATGGCTATAAAATTCTTTATAAGAAATTTGAGGGTAAATCTTCCAAAATACTGTCAGCCTTATATAAATAGAATCAGCCCTTTTCCCAGTTTTCATTTCAGTGGATTTAGAAATTCTCCACTCTTTGCACCTCGTCTCGAAGTCACTGGCCTCCTGTGTCATAGGGCAGTGGTGTGATATGGCAGGTTCACCTGGGCCCTGGGCTAGGCTCTCTGGTTATAGCTCTGAACTCACTATTCCACATGCCACAGACATATCAGTCACCACAGTCACACATGCTTTTCTATCTGTAAAACAGCAACAACAACAGTGTCTGCCTCGGAGATTCTTTTCCCCTCAACACTTGCTCCATGCTTTATACAAATCAGTTGTTAAAGACACAGTGAGCATGACAGAATGAAATAAAATGCTCAGAACAGGGTCTGACACATAGTAAATATATTAAAATTATTAAAATGATTAGTCAAGTCTGACACAGCACAATTTTTCTTCATAAAGATTTGGTTTTAAAATGCTTTTATAAAACATAATTAAAACATTTATAAAAGCATTGGTTGAAGAGAGAATTTTTACTTGGTATTTTATGTTAAGGGTCTCTAAGGAGGTCCTCCTGTGAAATTATAGCTATTAGGTATATGCAATGTGCTTTGTAAGCGCAGATATGATAAAGCAAAGGATTATTTGAAAAAGAGGGTCGGGCCACAGCTGGGGTAAAAATTCAGTCGCAAACTGCTCCCATGTGCCAGCGCTCTGACAAGCTCGTGATAAACCAGTCCTGGCCTTCACTCTACAGAGCGCCCAAGTCAAGCAGGAGGGCACTGGACTGGCTACAGCACACTCCGGCTCATGATCTAACACACACAAAGCAAGCATTTGGGTCCTGGGTTTCCAAATAAAAGAGAAAAGCCACTTACTAAGCATAAGCAAATTCTCTCACAGGGACGCATGTGAACTAGGACCTGCCGCCTGACAGGCAAGTGCCTGGTCCCCTGTGCAACCTGCTCATTATTTCTTTACTTTCTTAGATCTTTAAGGCAATGACTTTTAGGGGAAAATAACTCAGGCTTAGAGTCTACCCTGGATACTGAGATGAGGTGACTTGTGAAATTCTTTCAAGTTTGTGAATCTTAATTTCCTCCTGTATAATAAAAGGAGGTAATTGCTTTGCTGGGCCATTATAAAGGTTAAATGGGAATAAAATTGTTATACAAATTTAATTTATGAAAGACTTGAAAATAAGATAAATCAGGTAGTAGCTATTTACTTACCTAAGAATTCATACAAAATCTAACCGATTTCTTTTCTTTTCTGAAACATATTTTACATGCAGGCCACTCTTGGGAAGCACAGTACTATACACTGCGTTCACTAACCAAGGTGATGGCTGACCAATCTGTGGGACTAGACTGGCTGTTCTGTTTGCCTGCATGGACCACTGGACACCGCTGAGGGCTAAGACCAGAGTGGCACACCGAAGTTCAGAAAGGAGAGGGCAGGGGAGGATCAGTTAAGAATTCTGAATTTCAAACAACTGAGTGGGCAGAAGTGGGACTGACAAGCTCAGCCCTGGGTCTTTCTACCCCATGGTGTAGATATACAACCAACCACTCCAATTGCTCCTCCTGTCTACACATTTAAGTTTTAGAATTAATAAGCCACGTAGTTCAAAATGTATAGCTTCAAACAAAATCCTAGAAGCACTGGTTTTGATTATTGTCAATAAATTGAAACAAATGATAAAATTGGTAATGACCATTTACGCCCCCCCCCAAGTCAAAAGTCAGCAGGGAATTATGGGAAGAACATGGTACAGTTTAAAAGGTGGACTCTCATTCTGACTCAGTGTGTTCCTTTCAGAAGAAGCCACCTGACTCCTTTAAAAAAGCCAAGGGCTTCTAGGATGTGGAATGAGGAAGGGAGATGACTGAAGGAACCTTCTTGATCTAACAACACGGGATACCCCAATCAGCTACTTTTGTAGTCCTCCAGTCTGATTTCACCACTGCCATGCTGGGTGGCACCCATAGTGCATGAGCCTGCTTGCAAGACACGCTGCCAGATGGAAGAGTACTTACCACCAATGTGCTAGAAAAGAGCTGCAAAATGCCATAGGAGGAGCCTGCAAAACACATCAGCACCATCAATACAGTCAGCGAGGCCCATCACAGAACTGGATTAATGGGGGAACAACCATACAGAAACTAATAGAAACACATTAGGAAAAAAAAAATCATTTTTGAAAAAAGAAATTACCCCACAAATTTTTTCAATTGGAAGAGTATAAATAATAATATTATTATTATTGTTATTACTATTAATAGGTTTAATCTTTATTGTTGAAAGTATTATAGATGTCCACCTTTTGTTCCCGTTGGTCCCCTCCATCCCACTCCCACCCCCTTCCCAAGCCTTACCTGTAATATAATTATTAATAAAAGGCCTTCAACATAAAATGAAAGGTAAGGAGAAGAGAGACTAAAGGCAAGGCTGCCCTTAGGAAACTTGAGAGACAGTCCTTCCACTAGGTGAGGACGTGAAGTCCCGACGAAGATGCAGACTGCACAGGGGAGCAGAAATCAGATCCTGGACACATTCTACTAAATCTTAAATTTTAACATTATCACACATCTCTAACACTTCACAGCTTTCTCAAAATGCCTTAGTTTTATAAAGAACTTGCAAAGCTTTATAGAGTGCTTGACCTCCATTCTCCACAGAACATGTCTCCTCTGCTCTTTGTAAACCTTTAAGCTGCAGGGGTCCAGTATAATTCCAAGTGCCCTTTCGAGGGAAACGCAAATCTGGCATGAACCAGGGCTTATTGAATATTATGTACAAAATGTCCCAGAATGTCTGGCATGAACCAGGGCTTATCGAATATTATGTACAAAATGTCCCAGAATGTCTGCTTACAGAGCTTGTGAATGATCAAGCACTGTAAGTCTTAATTTTCATAATTAGCACAGCCCTAGGCCCTACTAGCTCCTGCCTCTTTGGTAAATCAACAGCTCCTGGATGGAGACTTTATGCTGCACAGGTCGCAACACCTTATAGCACTCTAAGGAATGGTGGTGGTGCTGCGAGAAGTTTGCAACTGATTTGGGAAGGTTACCCCAACTCCCTTTCCTGCACGTCTCAAAGCTTCTCAGAACATCGGCAGTCTAGGAAAAGATTAATCAAATATTCCAAAAATCCATTTCATAGCATTTTCACTTTAAATTTGGATAGCATTTAGCTATAAGACTGATTTGTTTTCAGGTACTTAGTTCAGGGATTTAAGTTCTATGCTCTGAAAGTGTGCAGTACAATCACTCACCTGCTATTCCTGCAACTGTTGGACTTGCTCCAAGAGACTTGACATGAAGGCTCAATAAAGGGACAACCATGCTGACACCAAACAAGTCCTAAACAACAAACACTGATGAGCCCAAATGAGAAATGAGCCCAGGTGTTTTTAAAGTGGTGATCCTAATTATAAACTAATTTTCCAAATAAAACCACTATTCAAAGCTTTGAATAAATAAGAAGTTATGATTGTATTCTATGCTACGCTAACTCATCAGGTTAAAGTCATCAAGGATCCAAATACAATATACTACAGCACCAGCGACCTGTAAATTCATGGGCTGCCCTGACCTAGAACTCATTTTCACTTGCGTCTTTGCAGTTAATCTTTAATATTCGAGAAGGATGTGCTACCAGAAGCTCCTCCCATAAAAAACAAAATAACTTCTGTGGCCAATGAAGGGGGAAAGGTGGTAGGGATGAGGTGCATTTCTTGACAAAGTAGCACGGGCTTAATAACATGAATGTCCTCCTGCAGTTAGGGAAGGAAGTGATCTGTAGTTTTCAGTCTTACAGGTACTACCCAAAAAGAAAGTCAGCAGAGCAGGAAGGCTGGTTTGTTAACGGAAGGCCGTACCCTGCAGCTAAGTCATAGAAAGTGCATATGCTTTAGGATCAGAAGGATGGTTCTCAATTCCAGCTCCACCATTTACTAAGAAGTGTGTGTCCTTGGGCAGCTATTTAATGTTACCAAGTATCAGTGCTGCCACCTGTAAAACATGAGGGTAATACCCGCCTGGCAGAAACAGGATGCACATTAAGAGACAGCGGCTGAAAAGAGTCTGACACACAATAGAAGCTCAAACATTTCTTCTCTTCAGTTCTGAGAATAAGTACTAATCCTTTATTTATTTACTTTTTTAACACATTGTTAATTTTCCCTTTAAGTGTTGTTCTCATTCCTACTTCGCTTGGTTACTTGCTCCAACTGGTTTAGGAGAGAAAACCATATAGCACACAGTTTTTTCATAGTCAACCTGAATTTATTTTCTTGTAATCCTGGTTAACAGAAATACTTGAAAAATATATATTTTTTCAGCCAACAATTAATCTTTTGCTCCCTGCTTCTCTTGGTAGCAGTACATTCGCCTAATTATAGAAATATAAACTTCCCGATACACTTTCAGTGTTTTCCTACCATGGTTATATCTTTAGATGGCCGTATATTTCCGTATATTTAATATCCGGTGACCTAAAATAGCTCACTGATTTTAAGATTATAGTAGTCCTCCCTTACTTATGGGAGTATGCTCCAAGAACCCTAGTGGATGACTGAAACCCAAGTACCAAAACATACACACACACACACACACGTTTTTTCCTATATATGATAAAGTTTAATGCATAAATTAGGCACAGTAAGAGATTAACAAAAATAACTAATAAAATAGAACAATTATATCAATACATTATAATAAAAGTTATGTGATGTGGTCTCTCCCTATAAATATCTCACTGTACTGTACTAGTCTTCTTCCTGTGCTGGTGTGAGATGGTACATTGCATATATGAGATGAAGGGAGGTGAGTGATGTAGGCATTGTGACATAGTGTTGGGCTACTATGACGGTGACCTAAACATAAGCACTGTGTCAATCTGATAACCGAGAAGGCTACCAAGTGACTAATGGGAAAGCACTGTGTACAGCGTGGATACACAGGACAATGGGATGATTCACACCTAGGCCTGGATGAAAAGGGGCAGCGTGAGATTTTAAATGGCATGCAGTTTACTTCTGGATTTTTTTCACTTAATTTTTTTGGACCAAGGCTGACCACAGATAACTGAAATCACGGAAAGCAAGACCTCGGGTAAGGGGGAACTACTGCACTTAAAATTTCTTTTGAGTTTGAACCAAGTTTTGAGGGCTTTACTGTCAGCTTTGTCCCATCAGCCTACTGATGTTTTATATTATTTTAAAGCCTCAAAATCCATAAACTACCTATTGTATTTTCCAGATCTTTAATACAAGGAAACTCAACTACCCAACAAGATATTTTTTCGAAAAGAATTCCCAGTACTGCTTGCCATTTAATATTGAAATGGTTATCCTAAGTAAGGGTTGGGAGATAAATATTTCAGTAGATAGGCCGACATCTATGGAAGATAAATATAAAAACACAGACTCATAAGTAATAACAATGATCAGTATTATTTTAGTACTGAAAAATATTATCTTTTTCCAAGGAGGCTGGCTGCTAGCTCTTTCCTCTGAGGAAGTTCTGTTCTCAAATTATCTTCTAGTTTAATATAAAAGGCAACTTCAAAGTTGGCACCTGGAAACCAGGTGAGAAGGGGTCACTTAACCCTTTCACAAAACATCCACATCTCTCAGTGCAAAATGATTAATACATTAAAGAGTTTGGGGATCTTTTAAAAATGAATTCTCACCTGACTAAAGGTGATGAAATGAAATACAAATCTCGCCAGGTACCTGGAGAAAAGAAGAGACTGAAATCATAGAGCTTAGCAGCACCTTAGTATGGTGACCAAAAAGGATCTTGTCTTAGACTTCCTTTCTAAACCAATTAAAACCTAGAAGAACAGATAGCTAAAAACAGAATATTTGGGCAAATGAATTCTTTAATCTTGTTCCTTTCTTCTCCTAATTGGAAACCATTTTCCCAAAAGTGTTAGGGGTCTTCACATCTCTATATTAAAAATCATAACTAAGTTATGTGTAATATTTCTTAGCTGTTACCTAACACAGCCATTAGATGCTTCAAGAAGACCCAAAGCTGCATGTATTTTGTTAACAACATTTTCCATTAAAGAAATCCCTACTCTCTTTAACTTTTGGGAAGTCTTAGATTTCTTCCTGAAGATATTAGAGACCTGATAATGCTCTGGAGTAAATTATCAAAATTAAAATTTTACATCATGTTTGCCAGATTAGGCTCGCCAGGTCCACAGCACATGGACAACATGTGAGGAGCTCTGAAAATCAAATCTGTATCAGACAGCCACTGTCAGGAATAATCTGCAGACATATTGTAAACAACTCAAACGATTTTGAATACTAGGTTATATTGGTTTCCACAATTCTCTGAACTCAGGCGTGGACTTTCTAAGTGAGGGTCCAGATCCTCTTCACCTGGCAGAGCCAGATCGGAATGCCATCTGAGGTAGGGCAGCAGTAGCTTGGGGTCCCCATCTTCTACCAGAAGTGGATGGTAGCCAACCCCCTTTCCAAATTTGCAGAGCTACTCACATTCAATGGTTTTGAACATTGGTGACTGGAGAAGGTGGGAGAGGAACCTGCATCCCGAGTGTCAACTAAGATTAAAGAAACTGGAACAGAAGAAGTGCCAGGCTCTGAACTCACAGGCATTAAGCCTGGGGGTGGCTGCAATGTGCAATGTTAACAGGAGACTGAGATTCCCTCCGGAAAGCTGCCCTCCCTGTCTCACGATTCTGTGTTTACAGAAATATGGTAAACGTGCTTCCATTGTTGTCTTAACAACTATTAATTCAACATTAAACCTTTAGGGACTGTTGAATACCTTGTACTGAGGCGGGCAAGGAATACTGCCTTCCTGCTCCTCTCCTAGCTCAATGTGACTCACTGTCCTAACTCAAGTGAGGCAGGCACCCTTTTGTTGTCAGGACACAGACTCTGGCCCTAGCTGGTTTGGTTCAGTGGTTACAGTGTCAGTTCTCAGACTGAAGGGTCCCAGGTTGGATTCCAGCCAAGGACATGTATCTCAGTTACAGGTTCAATCCCCAGCCCTGGTCAGGGCATGTGCCTGAGGCAACCAATCAATGCGTCTCTCCCACATTGATGTTTCTCTGTCCCCCAACCCCCATTCTGGAAAGCAATGGAAAAAATATCCTCAGGTGAGGATTAAAAAAAATAATAATTCATTAATTAAGACAGTCTCGGGCCCAGAAATAGAAAATCCTGCTTACTGGGTCTCTGTCCCAACCTGGATTAGCTGACAACCAGGGCAGCTGAACTAGGCCTAAACTTGGAAACAGAGGAATAAGAAGTGGATCTAAGGTTCCTACAGATAGTGGTCCACTAACTACGAACACAAGTTTCCTAGTAAGGTTCTGAATTCTCCCAGTCACAGGCTGTGTATGACAGTGATGGTAGCTCCACAGCACCTACCACACAGGTTTGCAGAAATTCCATGAATAATAAATGAGTAGGTGGATGAATGAAATACCTTACCATATACTCAGCTTTCTAAGCTTTCCATTAGGCATGGGAAACTGTTAACTGTCCTTATTAAACCAGGACACACAGACAAATTATGACAAAACCCTGCATCCCACAACATATAAACAGCTTGTCAAGGGGAGAAGTGTATAACTCACTATGACTTGCATTTTTAAACATTCCAGGACATGAGGAACCCTAATGAAAATGTGCCTAAAATGTGCCCAAGTGGGTCATCAACAGCAACTTCCCAGGCCCAGCCTGGTAAAAAGACCGGCGTTCCTGGGACAGCCACTGCACAGCTGGGCTCACCCAAGCTTTCGGGGAAACCCTGCTCTCCACCCTGCATGCTGCACCTGCCACATTGACTAACACCTAGGATCAACCTCTAAGGAGCCTGGTCCAGCAGCCACACCAAAGGCCAGGGAGTCTAACCAGCAGGGAGGGATCAGGCGGAAGTGAAAGCTCCAGGACCATAAAGCCACAGGGCCCAGTACAGAATGAAGGGGCTTATGGGGCAAGAGAAGGCTTGACTGGTAGGGAGCACCACCATGTGGAATAGCTTCGCAGCCCTGGCTGGGCCTTTCAAGTGACAGAGCAGGCAGCTACACTTGTGCAGAGCAGGAGCAGTGAGCCAGGCAGGGAAGGTCACCAGGGCCCGCCCAGCAAAGGGCAAGTATCGGCTGGGACCTGCCCCCACTGTGACCTTTTCCTCCCCTAGCATATCACTGGTCAAGCGGTTTGGTCTCCCTGACCCTTCCTATCGCTGGTCACAGTTCAGACCTCTTCCCCAACCCTTCCTCCCTCTGGCCTGTCGCTGGTCATTAAAACAATAATAAGAATAATTTTAGTCTTGGCTCTGAATTTCTTCTTAGCCAAAACTCCAAGACAGAGATGTAACACCTGGTGCCTTTCGCGGTTCACACAGCCACCGCTGAGCTCAAGAAAACACTCCCGGCCGGGGCCAGCGGTCTGCAGGGCGCCCCGCCGCACTCACCAGGAAGCCCACCAGGTAGAGGCAGAGCAGGAGGAGGCGGCCTCGCCCGGCGCCGGGCGCCCCCGCCGTCGCCCCTGGCTTCGGCTCCGGCCGCTC